CTCTTTCAGGTCTCCCATCCTGCTTACAAACTTCTGCCTTTTGTGTTCTGGAAATTTTAGGAGTGGGATAATACCTGCATGATGGTCTGGAGAGCACCATGAATGTGGAAAGGACCCACAAACATCCTCCATGCATGTGTTGATGCTCTCCCAGGACTATCACAGCTTTCTGAGCATTCCTTTGGGTGACAATAGCTTCTCTCAAACTACAAATTGTCTTTTTCAGGTCAGCTTAATGACTAAGTTGAAGCAGAGTGTGGTGAGGGGATGAGGATGCTCACCAGGAACACAGCACTGCAGCATCGTTTGGGCTCCAGGCTGGAGCAATGACCCTGTTATGCAGACATTGTCAATGTGTCTGTCTCAGCAGAGGATCATCTGTGAAACAGGTCTCCAAAGAAAACAGAGAGCTCCTATGTGCCCTGAGCAACCCCAGGACACCAAACCAACTAAAGTACTTCTCTTGAGAACCTTCCCTTGACCTTCCTCACACTTCTAATGACCCAGACCAGTGGGGACTCACCGCTGGATGCTGCCTCTGGCTTGGAGAGGGACTCCTCTGGGGTGGGCTCTGTCTCTGTTGGTAGGGTCATTGACTGCTTGGCCTCATCCATTTCATCATCCTCTGGGATGACCAGCTTCATCAGGCTCTGGTTGCACACATTTGCCACCTCCTTGATGTCTGAGTGAAGGCAGTGTAAGGAACACGCAGTCCCACACACAGGCAGCTACCAGCCACGGAGAAGCCACCGCAGCCCCACCAGGGCTGCCCCAGCCCAGCTACTGCAACCCCCTTCACATCCAATGGGCCAGTGCAGGTGTTAGCACTTGGTGGGAGGACTTCTCCTGGCCCACTCCAGCCATGTAGCTGGCCCTGCACCCCAGGGGTTTTTTTTGGGAGCAGCTCCGAGTTACAAGGATACTCTTCTTGCGATCATCGTAAGAGAGACATGGCAGGACAGCAGTCAGGATCCCTGAGGAGTAAGGCAGCATCACTCGGCCAGCCAGCTGGATGAACTCCCTCATCCAGCACATGGCTGTCAGCTGGATCAGGTCATCTGGAAAACATGGGACAAGCAAAGGTGAGGGAAAGGACAGCACTGGCAGGTGAGCAAACTCCACAGGTCAAGGATCACCTGCAAGCAGGGAGCTGCTCCTGCTCCATCCAGAGTCACTAGTCCAGAAAGACCCCTGTCAGGGACAGTTTAGTCCCAGAGGAGATCAATAAGACCTGAGTCTGCAGTGAGATTGAGATTACACACTATCATTAGGTTTCAGAGTTAGCCCAGTTCAATCTGTAAGGCAGGTTTCTCCACTTACAAGTATTCTGACAAGCTGCCCAATATATAAGAATATTTCCATGGTCACATGCATTGCAGCTGCATGTCTGGGTCAAGTATCACTCCTAGAGCTGCAGGTTCAACAACCTCCCCAAGTTCTGAAACACGGACCACTGCTGGAGCTCTCTGCTGGTGTGAGGCCAGATTTTAGGCTTAAATGGCATGAATTCATTGGGAGTCAGTTTAATCAAGAGCAAGCAGTCTGTCTGTCTCTACTTTTCTATCTCCCAAGAAATCCACTTCCATCCAGCAACATTTAAAGAGAAGTTTAAGCTCGATGAGCACAACCTGGGGACAAGACTCTTCTCAGGGAACACATCCAACTGCATCTGTAACCCTCCGCCACTGCCTACACAGCAGATCCATGGGAGCTACAGTGCTGCACTGGCACCAAGCCCATGCACATCCTGTTTAACTGTCCAGCCTGTGCAATTAGTGCCTCCAGAGGTTATGATAAGCCTGTAAGGAGATCCTTCTATAAGTGCTGGATATCCACAGATGCCATCCACAGCTAGGTATTTTTCTTTCATGCCCCTTCACTTTGGGGGGATTCTAGACCTGCATTGTGGCTGAGGGATCAGCAGTACAAAAGCAGCAGTGCCAACTGTAGGAGAGTTGCCTGTTCCACCCTTTCAGCGGGACTTGCATGCACAGGGACAAAAAAAAAGGCAAGCGGACAAGCTGGTGAACAGCCTGCTGGAAAACTCCTGGCCTGGATCTATTGGCACCACAAACCAGGAGGTGAGTACTACCGCTTGGTCCTGTGCACTCACCCGCTGCCTGGCAGTGGATCACCAGGATATTGGCCATTTCTGCAAACTTGACACTGGAGGGATTCTTCTTGATCTCCTTGAGGAATTCCCCAAGAGCCACCTCGCACCTGCAGAGAGGCAGAGCAGCTGGTCAGCGCTCAGTCACCTTGGATGGAGAAGCCAGGGAGAAGTTATGGAGACCATCCTCCTACAGGTGCACACGGAAGGAAACTGGTGGTATGGCAGAAGTGCCTCTGCACAGTAGGGCCAGGAAGGACAAGTCTGACAAATCCCTCCTGCCCCAAGGCAGAGACTGCACACAGCTGCAAGGATGGAAGCAATGACTGTCTGGAGCCCCTTCCCACAACTCCCTCACAGCCACCCAGGCTCTGTGCATATAGGGGTGCCTGAGATGGTTAGCAGGGGGGGCAAGTGACACCCAATGCTTTCAGTGCTTGTTCCTTGACATGTGGAAACTGTGAAACAAAGATACAGGGAGGATCCAGAAGGGCTTGGCAGCAGGACAGGCCCAGGCTGGTCTCACCACTCACTTATGCACCACAAAACAGGTCCAGTCACTCTCCCAGCTCAAAACGCTAGGATTCTCTGACCCCTCTAAGAATATGCAGCCACTCCTGTGCTTCAAAATGCCTCTGTCTTGGGACCAGCAGTGTCTCTGTGAAGCGAGCTCCCAATGCTTGCTTCTCTCCACCCAGGAGATGCTGGGCTGAAGTTCTGCCTTGTCAAGGGAGGCTCACACACTGCAAGCTTGTTCAGAGAGTTCATACCCCATCCTGGATACACACACAAACCTCTGCGGCTGATGTCGGGTGCAAGGGCTGGGAAGGCAACAGATCAACCAAGCCAAAACAGTTTGTGCCCCAGCACAGAGCATGGTGTTCTCCACAGACATAATAAGGTGGGGAAGGGAGGCCCTTGCCAAGGACACTTTGATCCACTGCTCAAGCTCATCCATCTCCCACCACACACACGGGGTTCTGCTGAAGTTATACAGAAGAGTTGCAAACCAATGAAGAGAGTGATGGACAGACAGTGACCATGACACAGCCCTCACCCCTGGCCAGCCTCCACACTCACATTTTCCGTATCTCCTTGCTATTGTCTCCCAGGATCTGGAAGAGGCCATCCAGGATTTCAGGCAGGTAATCCAAGAGGTTGATATCAGGCACAGACTCTAAGACCAGGATCTAGCTCAGGGGAGGAATAAGAAAGAAGAGGTGAGTTTTGGGGAAGCTGACTAACATGATCAGCACAAATCTAGCAGGATACTGTGGAATTCAGAGCTGAGCTGGGTGGGTTGGAGGGGAAGGTAAAGAGGACAGTACGGAGTTGTCTAGTTCAGGAAGGAGCTGAGGTAGCACAGGAAGCAAGCAATCAGCCTGCAACATTTCCAATCGCAGCACTGTAAGAGAGCAGGAATCAGGACCAACTGCCAAGATGCATACAGGCAGACCTGAGATGGCAATGGTATGGCTGAAAGAGAGACCATAGGGGCACACATCTCCCTAGATTCCAGACAGGCACCAAGAGCTCCTGCCTTGCACAGAAACGAAAAAGCAAGTGGAGATCCCTTGCCTCCTGGGGAGCAACATCCCCCCATCACCACTGGGTGATGCAAAGCAGTCTGGCACTGTCCCTTGAGAGACTGTAACCTCTAGACCACATTATGTCTATTTATATAAGCAACACTTTGTGTTTTCTAACTTGGTGCACAACGTCCTGCACAGGTTGGCAGAATTGCAGTGTGATGTCCCTATGACTGCAACAGCAAGGTGACAGGGAGCTGGCCTTTCAAAGAAACGGGTGAAAAACTGCTGCCTTACAAACCTGCCCAAATAAACCTGTGTGCCTGAGATCACATGTTGCCTCAGACACCTGCAGTCTGCCCAGACACAGGATGCTGTTGGGACACAGTATTCTGGAGCTGGGACCGGCAGGCACACGCAGTGCCCCGTGTACCTACCCAGGATATGATGAACTGGCGGGCGTACTGGTTGTTGGAGTAAATCCTCTCACGCAGCAGTGGGATGAAGCCTACCAAGTCAAACTGGTTGCTCTCCGTCACGATGTCCTGCAGAGCCCAAGCAGAGGGTGTTAGGAGGGACAGCTGCCACCTTGTGTCCACACAGCCACCCCCACACTGTCTTTCTAAGGCACATGACAGTAAAAAGATGACAAACAAGTTAACGTATGAGTCTGCAGGTCAGGAGACCTGGGGAGAAGGAGTCACGCAGTTTATTCAGGCAATGAGCTAATAATTCCCCACGGGCAGGGTCTAACGCTGAGCAGGACTCAGAGCCTGCTCTGTGCCAACCTGGCTGAACAGGACGAGATAAGAACATCTCTGATTCATGCCTCGGTGCTATGCTGCACACATGAGCAAGCACTTTTGATGTAGCCATGTGGATTGGGGTTGGAGAGTCCGCTGACTTTCCTTTAAAGCTGTTTCCACACGCTTGGTGGATTTTGCTGCATGGCTGAGTTTCTCACCGCGGTGCGGTGGAGCAGATCTCCCAGCAGGAAGGTTTGCAGCAGGAGACTGAGTTAACTGCTGTGGTAACGCGGAATGAGGGCAGGACCTGGCAGGGAGCTGCTCACTCCTGAACAGCAGCAGAAAAGGAACTGAGAGGTCTGTGTGAGTAAAAGGCCATCAGCAGGCAGAACAGGAACAGGAACTGAGCCCTGCACCCCGAAGCAGCAGCAGAGCAGCTCTGCTCACATCACTATTTGATTAGGCGAGGGAAGGAGAGAAGAGGAACAGCCTTTCTGCTGCCTGGGACAGGGCTGCAAGCCTCAGACTAAAACCTTGCTTCCCCCAGCTCCCACGAACTGAATGCACACGTGACACTGTGATAACCCACCAGCCTCTCCATCCAGCTGCCTGAGAGAGCTACCAGACCCTTGATCTAAGAGGGTGCAGTCAGTGAGAGAAAAAATTGTTTTGACAGCAGCCACAGGACTGAGCTGGAATGGTTTTAGCAGTTTCAGCCTTGGGGACTGACATGTTCCCAGCCAGGACATGCCCCCAGCCTGCACCAAGGAATCTCAGCTGGAGAGGAAAAACTACCTTGAGGAGCCGATCAAGGAGCTCGGAGCCACTTTTGACGTTTGGGTCAGGATCAGCAGCCAGCTGTGAATGACAGAAATAAGAGCCATTGCAACAGTGGTTCCCATGTCTGCTCCCCACTCTGCTGCACACCTCCCAGCAGGCTCACAGGACTGTTGCTTTCCTTTGGCATTACAGGGATGGACACAGAGAATTCTCTTTATCTCCAGATTCTCATTAGGCTCCAACAAATTCTCCTGAGAGACTTCCTAAGGGGAATATCAAGTACCCATTACCTCCCCCAGCTATGCAGGTTTTCATGGGCCAGCAGACATGCTCTCAAGGAGCAGAGAAATACAAGTTACCAGTGAAAATCTGCAAAGACAGACAGACAGACATTGGTTTCACCCTACAGACCCCACAAAGCCGTAGTGCTGCAGAGCCACCTCACCTGCAGCAGTTCTCTCAGCCTCATTTTCTAATACCATTCAACAAAGAGCAGGAGAATACATCCTGGAGGTGAGGACAGAGAACAAGGTATCTTACAGTGAACTCCACACCCACAACATCAGTGACTACTGTGCAGAAACTGCTCATTTGGTCCTTCAGACCTGTCTGGGTCAAAGTAAACCAGTCTACTTGGAAATAAAAATCTTGGACAACTTGGTTTGTTTAACTCGGAGATGATGAGGACTAAGGAACAAGCCTCAGTCCTCCAGTGTGGGAAAGAAAAGCACATGGGGGAAAAGTAGAAGCTTCTTACCTTGCTGAGGCCATCAAAGAGCACATTGAAGTGTGGGAGGACAGAGCCCCTGGCCACCTTGACAATGTTGTAGAGAGCCTCACAGGCATAGTACCGCAGCCGACTATCAGCATCATTGAAACACGTCAGCACTGGCTCAATCAGCTCCTTCAGGTACAGCCCAGAGTCCTGGTGGACAGGAGGAGACTGGTTAGCTAAGGGCCAGGCCACAGGGAGTGGGAAGAGATGGTGGTCCCCTGGAACATACTGCAAAAATCAGGCCTGTGATGGCTCAGTGCACCTATGCTGGACAGGATTTATTAATGAATTTTGAATTTTATTACTGAAATTATTAAATTTTACTATTCAGGTACAGCAACAGCCAACTGAGCAAGCTGAGAAGCTCTTTCATGGGAGTCTACAGCAGCAGCTGAAGTGATTAGGTTTGCTGGGCATCTGCCTCGTCTCCTGCCTGCAGGGCAGAGGAAGCCAGGGACGGATTTCTCTGTGGGCCAGTCTCAGCTGTGTGCAGAAGGAAAGAGCCCCTCAGGCTTTGAAAGGCACCTGAGCACTTGAATAACTGCCCAGACTTCTTGCACATCATTGGGACATCTCTGGGAATCAAAATCAGGCAAGTACAGCTGCAGTAATTGTCACAACATAGCATCATGTTCATAATTCAGCCTGGAGAAGACTGTGTGGAGACCTCATAGCAACTTTTCAATATCTGAAGGGCCTACAGGGGAGCCAGAGAGGGACTCTTTGCTAGGAAATGCAACACCAGGAAAAGGGGTAATCAGTTCAAACTGAAGGAGGGGAAGTTTAGGTTACATATTAAAAAAAAGTTTTTTATTGTGAGGGTGGTGAGACACTGGCACAGGTTGCCCAGGGAAGTGGCGGCTGCCCCAACCCTGTTGGTGTTCAAAGCCAGGTTGGAAGAGGTCTTGAGCAACCTGATCTGGTGGGAGGTGTCGCTCCCCATGGGACTAGGTGATCTGTAAGGTCCATTCCAATCTCTAAAATTCAATGATTCTATGATCATTGAATATCCTGAGTTGGAAGAGATCCACAAGAATCATCAAAGTCCAGCTCCTGCTTACATTCAATAACAAGGCCTCCTTCCCACACCAGAAGAC